CAAAATTGTGGTAAAGTCTCGGAAATAAATACATCAAGTACATTCGCTTTCTTTATTGTTTAAATGTAAACTGGATGAAACAAAAAGTTACTAGATTTAAGCACGTCATAGATTAATATCATCATGTTATTATGTCAGGTGGCAGTTACCAAAATAATTTTGAATTTGTCAGTTTGTAAAAAAATTTATATTTTGATATTTCAAACTTTTTTATAAGTATTCAATAAAATGATGAAACGATTTAGTGATCAATCAAAAACTTTAATCCTGAACGTAGTGTAACCTACCAACAGTTCTAAGCAACTTACAGTGGAGAATTGCTTAAAATTAAACTTCAAATATAAAAAAAAAAGTTTATCAATAAAATTTTGTATACTATGGTTACACAAGTTTCGATTGTTCCGGTGTCAACCTTTGAGACTTCGACGTCGCTCACACAGTAGCTAGGGGGTGGATAGCTATTAATAATTCCCGAAATAGTGGACAAATGAAGGGCGCCAACTGTGTGTATATAGTGACCAAGCTGCGTTCCCATTTCCGCACAAATCCAGTAAATGAGGAAATAAATAAAAGACAAATCTCAACTTATGTTCTTTAATAAAAAATGTACCAATTATCCCAATTAATATTACCAATTTTACAAAATTACATTTAAGAAACAAATCTGTTTGCCAAAAGAAAAAAAAAACAAACTCAAAGTTAGAGTTCAAGAACAAACTCTAAAAAAGCAATATTTAAATTGTTCAACAACCTTGTAAATAATTTACCTTATGGCTTTTGATGAATTCAAAAATAAACTGACATAGTTAAATATGGTGAGAAATTAGGATAATGCATGTCATATATGTAATATGCATAAACCTGACTGAAAATAAATTCATCAACAGATTGCACGGTCAGTCATTTCCTTGGTACCAGGCGAAAGACGTTTGCGCAAGATGGTATGCAAATATAGTGAAATTGTAATTTCTTTCTTTCTTTTAAAAAAATATATAAACAGGTATGTGCATATCCGCATCTATATCTAAATAACAACGTTTAATGTTGAAACACAATAAAA